GATAGATAGATAGATAGATAGATAGATAGATAGATAGATAGATAGATCTGGTCAGCATGTGGTGCGGAAGAATTGTCTGTATTCTGTCAATCATGTTTTAAATAAACACTGATTGGCCAGGCAGGAAGTATAGACAGGAAAACCAGACAAGAAGTAGAAGTGATGCAATGAGAACAGGAGAATTCTGGGAAGGAGGAAGCTGATTCCTCCCAGTCCTGTGCAGACCACCGAGGAAGCAGGATGTAACCTGCCAGCTGAAAAAGGTATCGAGCCATATGGCTAAAATAGATCAGAATAATGGGTTAATATAAGTCATAAGAGCTAATAAGAAGCCTGAGCTAATGGGGCAATCAGATTATAATTTATGGAGACCTCTGTGTGATTTTCTTTGGGGCTAAACAGCTGTGGGAACTGGGCAGAACAGAAAAACCCCAACAAGCAGACCTTCATGTTACAAGCATGAATGAATATAACTTTATTATAGTAAAGATATGACAGAATTATCCCAAGTTATAAAGTTCATAAATGATAATAATCTCAGAATAACATGCACATGAAATATACTTAAATGTTTTAAATATGTACATTTACTCACCATTGCTGAACATATAATACTAAAAGGTACCAAGAACTGAATTTGCATGATACTCAGCACTGACCTAAATATATGCTTGCATCATCTAGAATTGTCATTCACCCACAAAACATGCCTGAAAAGGAGCTGGCATCACCTTTCCCTTTAAATGTCCAGTTCACCTCCTTTGAGATTCTTCATTTACCTTTACAACTGAAACTTTTCAAATGTAAGAATTATGCTAAGTTCCACATGGTTCCCTTTTCTTCCATGGTATATATACATATATATATATATACACACACACATATATATACATATGTTATATATGTAAAATATATTACGTATCTCCCATAACCTTGGTCAAACATGGTTTTCTTTTTCCTTTGAGACAGTCTCACGGATTCCTGGCTGGCCTTGAATTAACTACGTGGTCCAAGCAAGACCCTGAACTTCTGATCCTCTTATCTCCACCTTCTGAGTATTAGCATTTCAGGCATGGACCGTGATACCTGATTATGCAGTACTGGAAGCCAAACCCAGGGCTTCATGCCTGCCAGGCAAACACTTGACCAACTGAGCCACATCTCCAGGCCCTCACAGGACATTTTAAATGCAATTCTGATGTTTTAAAAATTCTTTTGGACTTTCTATGTTGTGTTAAAAAAAACAAGCACTTCTAAGTTTTTCTAGAAAATATGTGCTCCACATATAAAAATCATGTCTTGAATATTTTACACATTTACATTTCTTTGCAAATACTCTAAAATAGAGCTATAGCCACTTCTCTCGTAAGGCATCTTTACAGCACACAAAAAGCCCACTGGTAAAGTCTTTCCTAAATTAACATAGACTATATCATGACCCTGGATGACAGGCATATTATTTTGCCCAGAGGTCTTCTGGTATTACACTTAAGGGGTTTTTGAAAAGAAATTATTGTAACGAGTAGAAATAAGTTAGCTTTTCTTGCTTCTGTGTCACACACAGCCACAGCAGTGAAGAGAGGGAAAATACTGTCTTCATAAGTGCCCTCCTGGGGGGAGGGGGGACTGGGAAACAAGAGCACTCGGACAGCAAGCGCAGGCTCTGGGTTTCACACCACACAAGAGTACAAACGTCCAGCTGTCAACCCAAGTTTACAAGATCACGAAGTCACTCTTCTCATACTTACGGGCGCTGCATCAGTATGGACTTCCTGTCACATGAGAGGCGAGTCCAAAATAAAATCTCTCCACATTCCCTGGACATCGGTGGTTCCCTGTTGTATGCGCTCCTAAGGCCGTGGTTCTGAAAGGCTTCTCCACACTTCTTGTCTCTTTTGAGTATGTTCTTTCTACCAATTAAGTTCAGAATCACCAACAAGTGTTCCCACATTCCTTGAACTCATTTTCTTAGCCAACATGTCACAGATGTCCATTCAGTTCTGAAACATAAAGGTCTTTCCGTATTCCTTACATCCAGTTTTTTCTCATGAATATTCTCACTTCGAACAAGTTATGAACCCAAGAAGGTCTTTCCCACCACTTATACTTGTAGGGTTTCCTACCACCATGGAATAACTCACATGACAGTTATAGCGAGTCTTTCTATCCCGCCAGCCAGCTCCCAAATCAGACTTCTTATTATGAAAGTGCAGCTGATAGCTTAGGCTTGTTCTTAGCTAGACCTTATAACTTAAGTCATGCACTTTCTGCCTCATGGCTTTATGACTGCATCTCCACAAAGCCCATCCTGCTTGCTCTTCATCTGGCTAACCATTCCGCCCTTCTTCCCAGCGTCCTCTCTACCTTGAAAATCCCTCCTGAGCCATTGACCAATTAGCTTTTTTATTAAGTCAACCACAGTGACATTATCTTCACACAGTGAAGATATTCCACAGGAGACAGTGGCTTGAGTTACAGATGAAGGCTTTTCTAAAGCTCGGTCCTAGGTTCCCTACCAATGTGGGCATTCTAGTGCTGCGTAAAATTTGAGACACAAAACAGGCTTTTCCAAGAGTTCTGCCTCAACTTGATTCCTCATCAGTATAAATCTTCTGACACTGATTGAGCTGAGCCATGAGTAGAATCTTTCCAACACTCCTTAAATTGATAAGATTATTGACCAGTGTGAACTCTCTCATGCTCAGTAACATCTGGCTGCCAACAGAAGGCTTTTCCGCATTCATTACACCCTTGGGCTGTTCGACACTGTGGATTCTCTGATGTTTAATAAGATGTGACTGCTGGATAAAGGCTTTTCCACATTCATTGCATTCATAGGGCCTCTCCCCGGTGTGGATCCTCTGATGCCGAGCGAGGTCTGAGGCAGAGGCAAACGCTTTCCAACATTCCTGGCATTTGTAGGGCTTCTCACCGGTGTGCAGCCTCTGGTGGCGCGTGAGTTCGGAGCTGTATCTAAAGGCCTTTGGGCACTCCCGACATTGAAAACGCTTCTCCCGAATATGAATTGTCTTAAGATCTCTATCATTTGAACGCCAGCTGAAGTCCTTGCCATTCCCTTTATATTCATTTGCTGTCTTCCCAGGCTGAAACTGAGAAAGTTCTGAACCACAAGCAAAGGTCTCCGCAAATTCCTTATCCTCCCAGAATTTCTCACCAGAACGAATCAGCGACTGCTGAGGGTTTTCTAAAGCAGAACCGAAGGCCTTCTCCCCTCCGCTAAAGTCGTGCGGCTTCTTAATGTGACTTTTCTGATGTTGAGTGAGGTGTGCCCCGCGAGTGAAAGCTTTTCCACACTCCTTACACACATAAGGCTTTACTCCAGTGTGAACCCTCTGATGCCGGCCAAGGTCTGATCTGCAAATGAATCCCTTCCCGCATTCCTTACACTTGTAGGGCTTTTCGCCGGTGTGGATCTTCTGATGGCGGGCCAGATCCGAGGGACACCGGAAGGCCTTCTCACAGTCCTGGCATTTAAAGAGCTTCTCCCTGTTGTGAATTTTCTTCAGGCTGCTGACAATGGAGCGCAGACTAAAAGCCTTGCCACATCCTTGACACTCGTATATTTTCTTACCAGTGTGGACTGTCTGGTACTGAGGAAGCTCTGAATCTGGAAAAAGCGCCTTCCCATTTTCCTTATCTTCAAAGAACTTCTCACCGATGTAAATTAACTGCCGTTGGGTATGATCTAAGGCAAAACTAAAGGAGTTTTTGCATTCTTTGCATTTCCGCAACTTATCACCAGTGTGGATTTTCCTGTGCTGGCTTAATTGTGAGCCACACGTGAAAGCTTTCCCACACTCCTTGCACACGTAAGGTTTCTCACCAGTGTGGATTCTCTGATGTTTGATGAGATGCGACTGCTGGATAAAGGCCTTCCCACATTCGTTGCACTCATAGGGTTTCTCACCAGTGTGGATCCTCTCGTGGCGCGTGAGGTCTGAGCCGCAGCTGAACGCCTTCCCACACTCCCGGCACTGGTAGGGCTTCTCTCCGGTGTGGATCCGGTGGTGGCGAGTGAGGTCTGAGCTGTAGTTAAAGTACTTCCCACACTCCTTACACTCGTAGGACTTCTCCCCCGTGTGAATCCGGACGTGGACACTGAGCAGCGAATGGAACCGAAAGGCTTTCCCGCACTCCTTGCACTGGAAGGGCTTTTCCCCCGTGTGGATCCTCTTGTGTCCGGTAAGACTGGAACGGAAACTGAAAGCCTTGCCGCATTCCTCGCACTGAAACGCCTTCTTTGCAGCGTGAAGCACGCGGCACCGCGCCAGTCTGGCACCAGGAGGGAAGCTCTTTCCACACTTTTCGTCTTCTTCAAATTTCTCACCCGGGTGAATTAACTGGAGTTGGGTGGCGCCTGCGGCAAAACTATAGGACTTTTCAGACTTGAAGTCACTTGCTTTCTCTTCTATATTTAGTCCTGGACACTGATTAAAAGCTGTGAGCTGATTCAAAAAGGGCATTTCTTCATCGGTAAGCGCCATCTGCTTAAAGCATCCCTCTTGACTCTCCTTTTGTGCTGGAACTTGACCTTTGCCCTCCCAGTCAGCTCTAGGACAGGAACCTTCAAGGCTGTGGTTTGTATCGGTTTCCATTACTTCCCACTGGGATAACTGCCTTGCACATTTGCTAGTTTTTGGTAGAACTTTCTTCATCTGCCACATGGAATCTATATCTGAAAGATAATAATGTAAATATATACTGTTTTACTATCCATATAGAAAAAAATGCCCTCAAAAGCCAATGGTAAAGTAAATCACACAAGAAGTGAATGTCTTAAAAACAAAACAAAACAAAAAACCCAAATCTGGACAACATTAAAAGGACAAAAAAAATAAACAAAAATTTCAGAGAGTTAATTTTAGAAGGGAGGAGGGATAACTTAGAATTTACTTAGGGGGATTTTATAAAAAGTAAGCACCAAGAGGCACAAATGGAATAATCAAGTAGCAACAATGTAGCATAGCTCACAGTTTAGTTTCTTCCATCTTTATTTTAATGACTACATAGGCTGCTTCCTTCATGGCTTTTTTTTTTTTTTTTTTTTTTTGTCTTTTTTTTTTTGTTTTTGTTTTTCGAGACAGGGTTTTTCTGTAGCTTTGGAGCTTGTCCTGGAACTAGTTCTTGTAGACCTGGCTGGCCTCGAACTCACAGAGATCTGCCTGTCTCTGCCTCCAAGGTCTAGGATAAAGGTGTACACCACCACTGCCTGGCCTCCTTCATGGCTTTTAAAAATTTATGTATTTATTTTATGTGTACAGATGTATGCCAGAATGTATGTCTGTATACCATGTATGTATGTGCCTGTGCCCAATGAGGCCAGAAGTTCACGTGACCCCCAGGATTGGAGTTAGGCAGGTGTGAGACACCATGTGGTGTTGTGAATCAAACCTTGGTCCCCTTTAACAGCGGCCAGTGCTCTTCCATCGAACCATCTTTTCGGCCCCTCCATGCCTTTTAGTACAATAGGAGACAAAAGCATATCCAGTCTGGCTTAGCCAAAGACAAATTTATTTTTAATATATTATTATTATTGTATATGGAGAGAGAAAGACAGAGACATAGACAGACAGACAGACAGACTGGGTGCATGTGGCAGTCACTGTATGTAGGTGTGACTGTGGGCATGCATATGCCACTGTAGACATTCGGAAGTCACGTGTGTATGTGTGTGTGTGTGTGTGTGTGTGTGTGTCTGTGGACATGAACATGCCACAGTAGACGTGTGAGGCCAGTTCTCTCCCACCACGTGTTTCAGGGATTGGACTCCGGTCCTCGGAAGTGTAGAGCAAGAAGCATTTCTACCTGCTCTGTCATCTTGTAGTCCTGGTCCACTGTGACGACAAAGCCCCCAGCAGAGGATGTGCTGAACTACCGATAATGGCCATCCTCACCCGTGGAGGGGAAAAGGGAGAAACACAGGAAGTGGCCAAGTGGGGCTTGTCTTGCCAGGCATTCTCCTGGTTGCCTCCCTTTCGCCCTGACCTCTCTGCAGGTAGCTCCTCCTAAGTGGCCCACACTGTTTTTACTTACTTTTAAGCCACCAACCTAAAGGTGTTCTTTTCCACCAGGCAAAAATTTCTGAATAAGTTCCTATTACGGAAAATAGAAGGCTTATTAATATATACTCTTTCTCAATGCTAGTAAATCCAAGCTGAAACTAAAAACTGGTAACTATGTGTTTAAACAATGACCTCATGAGCTCAGGAAACACACAAGGAAGGAGACAGTAGATAAAGGAAGGCAACTCAAGAGGGCTGCGTGTGGTGGCATTATAGGAAGGAAATCGTAGCTAAAATGATTAATAAGTTTGCAGATTTTTAGAGAGTAAGGAAATTTATAAATACCTAAACAGAAAAGGAAACAGCAAGAGATGGGAAGGCATTTGAGCTACATCATTTAGAAAACAATGGCCACTAGAGAAAGAGAATGACACTTCCCTTTCTGTCACGTGGGGGACCAATAAGAAGAGGATGGCGCTAAAAGTGGACTGGAGAGAAGGCGAGGCCGGAAGGGGTGGACACGCTCCGTGCTGTGTCAGAGGCCATCAGCCAGGGACGGTGTGCCCTGCGCCAGCGTGCCAGAGGTGCTGCTGACTCAGCAGCCAGACTGCTGGATGACTGCCCCAGCCGCCACCACTCACCTGGGTAAAACCTGCTGGTCTCACTGCCCAAATCCACGGAGGCATCTTGTTCTTTTTCCACAGGGAACACACGTGGTTGATAAATGCAAAGGCCTGCATGTAAGATAAAACATAGGAAGAACCACATGATAAGAACTCCAAACCTTTTATCTGGTGCCTTGGTGACGAAGGAAGAGGAACGATGACGAGAAGGGCAAGGAGAAGGACAAAGCATTGTGGGAGGTCCCCAATGATGACAACCATCTTCTCAAAAACCAATGTCTAGGGTGAAACTGAATCTTACCTACTGAGACAAGGTGGCTGTAGTTCTCCAACATCACATCTCTGTACAAACGCCTCTGTTCCAGGGTCAGACATTCCCATTCTTCCGGGGAGAAGTCTATAGCCACATCTCTGAACGTCATTACCTGCCATACAACAGCCCCAACATTAATGATAAAATTTAAACAAATTATTTAGATGGAAGGGAAAAAAGGTGGCAAAGGGCAGAGCAGGGAATGGAACACAGATGAGCAAAACCTGGAGCTGGCCGTTTGTGGTTCGGGAGGGAAGGAGATGGAACCATGGTCAATCATGCCAAGAGCCCATAGGCTCTCAACACTGCTGCTCTGGGGCTGAAGAGATGGCTCTGTCTGACGGCTCAGTGGCCAGAAGTGCTTGCTGCTCTTCTACAGGGCCTGAGCTCGGTCAAGCCCCATACTGGGCACCATACTCCAGGGGATCCAGCACCCTCTTCTAATCTTCACTAGCATCTATACACACGATAGTCACAGAAGTGCACAGACATACACATTAAAGAAATAAACTGTAAAAACAAACTATTGTTTGGTCACAGCATCCTTATAGGTTTCTTATGAGGAACACTGGGACCAAAGGGTGGTAGCCCAGAGATATCCTAGAACTTTATGGCAGACATCATGGAGAGACTATGCCTGTCTGAAATCCCTAACTCCAGATCATTGCATGATATTTTGTTTGTGTTCTCACAAATAAAGCATGCCTGGAGATCAGAGGGCAGAGCTAACCTCTAGTTAACCATAGAGGCCAGACAGTGGTGGCACACACTTTAATCCCAGCACTTGGGAGGAAGAAGCAGAAAGATCAGGGGGTCAAGGCCACCCTGGGCTATGTGAGATTGAACCAGTCTAAAAGAGAAACAGAGGCGGTGCTGGCTGGCTCACACCTTGGATCTCAGCACTTGAGAGCTCACACCTTGGATCCCAGCACGTGAGGCTCATGCCTTTAATCTCAGCATTACAGAGGTAGAAACAGGAATATAAGGCAGGAAGAGTCAGGCGCTCACCCATTCAGTCTGAGGATTCACAGGCAGAACTGCCCCCATTCGGTCTAAGGATTCACAGAGGTCAGAAGTTTCTGGTGGAGGCTGCTCTGCTTCCCTGACCCTTTCACCCTAGGTACCTGACTCTGAGTTTTTATTGTTAAGACTAATTAGGATCACGCTTCACCCGACATATGTAAAACATGAGAAAATGTGGACATTTTATGACTGCTCATTTTATTGTTTGTTCTTTTAAGACAGGGTACTTTTAGCTAAATTTCCCATCGGTTTAAATTTAAAGAATTCTTTACCAATGTATTCGCCAAATCCTGACTTTCTGAGCAGAATGTGCTGCTCCCTGAAGCAAGTGCCAACCAGCTAGCTTCCTGCGGATCCCCAGGTCTCTGCACACTAGGTGTTTCTGCCATGACTTCTTAATGCACTGGAAAGCGCCATTTGCGGAGACAGCCCGGAATAGCACCGAGCGCCACAGTGCTCCCGTCTGTATGCAGAGTGAGTGCAAACCTTCTTCTGCTGTCTCTTTGAAAAGGCACTCCAGGATGTGCTTGCTCTCTGGTGGTGTATTCCCCGATTAGATATGCGTTCAGGTCTAACAATTAAGGGCCACTGATGGCCAAGTGGGCGAGATAAGGACTCTCAGCTGAGGGGAGAGTGCCCGCAGGGGAAGCCCTGGGCTGCTCACAGCATGGCTGACCTGGAGTCGGCTCGGGTGAGTGGTTTCCGAACAAGGGACAGAAACATTCCCATGAGGAGAAAGGATTTTTTTTTGGGGGGGAGGGGAATACAAACTCACATGGGCCATGATTTAAAACTCCTGGATGTTGACCAGTTCTCTTCTTGGTTCTGATCTTTATGAAGCCAACTCCTGAGGAAACAGAGCACAATAAAGGGAATCGTGAGATCCCTGGCTTTCCAGAGACCTCTTCCGTGGGTGAGGGAAAGGCCATCTTCTTCCCTGCAGGAAGGTCAAGAGGGATTGTGATGAAATGCTGGCCCCACTATAAACCAAGAAAACCCCGACTAAAACAGGATGGAGCTATAAGCCACTTAGTTGTGTCAAAAATCATTCCATAGCTGGGCAGTGATGGCGCATACCTTAATTCCAGTACTGGGAGGCAGAGGCGGGTGGATCTCTGTGAGTTCGAGGCCAGCCTGGTCTACAGAGTGAGTTCCAGGACAGCGAGGGCTACACAGAGAAATCATGTCTTGAAAAACAAACAAACAAAAATCATTCCATAGATGAGCATATGACAAGGACATTCTGATTGAATCTAAATGTCTCAAAAAACTCTTCAAAGCTGGAGTTAGAAATCTTCAAGCAGAGTGGAGCTCTCCCTTCTGGGAGCTACCTGAGCGACCTGGACTCCTCTGTTTGTCCAGGACACCACGTCCTATTTTCTCCACGTCTAACAAACTTACTGAGTCGTTTTCACCTAGAGCATCTAAGAAGGGTCACACCCTACACCTGAAGACAGTTTTGAGGCTATAACACGCCTGAGGAAACTCAGCATGCAGTCAGTGAGACAAGCATACACACAGCCCATGGATGTCCCATCAGGGCTCTACAGAACTGGGCACAGTCTAGCTGCACTGCCAGTCCCCACGACCCTTCAGTCTCCGATACAAGTCCCAGCTAGTGCGCTTTAGCTTGGGCCTCAGGTCTCACCTCTGGAGAGGGAAATTACTGCTCTCTTAAAACCTTCATTTTTATGAATGAGCTCTTTGCCTGCATGTATGTCTACGCACCATGTGTGCCTGGCGCTCCCTGAGGCCAGGAGACAGCATCCACGTCCCTGGAACTGGAGCTGCACATGGTTATGAGCTGCTGTGTGGGTGCTGGGAACTGAACCCAGGTCCTCTGCAAGAGCACTGAGTGCCCTTAACTGCTGAGCCATCTCTCCAGTCATGAACACTACATTTTGAAAATGAGATTTAAACTTCATTAGAGAAGGAGAAGAGGCAGGAGAGATGACTCAATAGTTAAGCACACTGGCTGCTCTTGCAGAGGATTTCCAGCGAACCTGGGTTCGATTCCCAGCATCCACATGCTGGATCACAGATATCTGTTAACCCCAGCATCAGGGGACCAGCCATCCTCTCTGTGGGCATTGCATGCAGATGGTACACATACACATAAAATAAAAGTTAAAGAAGAAAAACAACAACAACAACAAACCCAAACCAAAACAAAGGCCAGGCATGGTAGCGAGCACCTTTAATCTCAGCACCCAGGAAGGAGAGGTAGGAGGATCTTTGTGTGAGTAGCCAGGCCCACATCTCAAATTCCCGACCAGTGGGAACTACACAGCAAGACCCCGCCTCATGAATGAATGAATGAATGAATGAATAAATACATGGGAAAAAAAGAAAATAAAAACAAAGGTGGGGGCTCCTTGGAGAGATGGGTCAGCAGTTAAGAGCACTGGCTGCTCTTCCAAAGATCCTGAGTTCAGTTCCCAGCACCCTCAAGGTAGCTCACAACCATTTGTAACGAGATCTGGTGACATCTTCTGGCCTGGGGATACATGTAGACAGAACACTGTATACATAATAAATAAATAAATAAATAAATAAATAAATAAATAAATACATCTTTTTTTAAAAAGGCAAGTGGGGGAGGAGGCTGTGAGAAGGCAGAGCAAGGGCACAGTGAAGCTCCTGAGGACTCTGCGTCCATTTTCCTGGGACACTAAGGGTTTTGTGGTCATGACGGATCTTTGAGAGAAAAGTGAGGAGCTACTGAGCAGCTGTGGCGCGAGACACGTCGTGTTTGGGGGACAGAGGGACTTGAGAGTAATTATTCCACAGTTTGAAGGAGGAACGGTTCTAATCCCACATTCCTCCTGAAGCCGTGGAGAGGAATCAGAAATAAACAGAGCCTACGTGGATGCTTCAGCCATGAGAAATCCTCACTCTGTGAGGAGTGGGCCAAACACTGAACACAAGGTTCTAACAGATAAGATAGGACGGGTGGGTTTCCGTGAGCTCTAGGCCGGCCAGGGCTCCACAGTCAGACAATGTCAAACAACAACAACAGATAGAGAGAGAGAAGGGGGAGAAGGAAGAACTAAAGAAGATGTAAGGGAGACTCAAGGTGGCAAACCAGAACCACTGCAGACTGGAAGTGTACACCGATACCCAGCTGTCTAAACAAATACCATGAAAGGACACAATGGTTTGGGGAGACGGCACAAAATTCATCAGTACCAGAACATTCCCTAATAAAAGCATTAGATTAAAAAGCATGAAGAGGAGAGGCACTGGGGAGGCTCTTGCAGAACATCTGGTTTGATTGCCCGCACCTACGTGATGGTACACAGCACCCCCAATTCCAGTTCCAGGGGATCCAATGCCCTCTTCTGACCTCTGCAGGGAACCAGGCGTGCTCGCGGTGTACACACACAGGCAAAATGCTCGTGCATATAAAGTTACAAAAAGTATTTTAAAAACCATTAAGAGTTGTGCTAAAAAGGTCAACTGCCTGTAACCAAAAGGAAATTCTCACTTTAATTAGACCTTCCATCCTGAAAAACTTAGGATTTTTAACATAATTTGTGGAAAAAGAAATGAGAGCTTCAAGGACTATAGCTAACCAAACAATTACTCATTTATTTTGGCTTTTTGAGATGGAGTCTCACTATATATCCCTGGATGGCCTGGAACTTACTAAGTAGACCAGGTAAGCCTCTAACTCACAGAGGTCGCCTGTTTTTGCCTCCAGAACGTAGGGATCAGGGATCAAAGACTTGTGCCACCATACTTGGCTCATCAATTTTTAAAGATACAAAGAGTAACCAGAAGTGGACACACACCTATAATCCCAAACTTAGTAGACTGAAGCAGAAGAATCATTACGAAGTCAAGGCTAGCCTGGACTGCATAGGAAGATCCATTTTCAAAGGGGGAAAAAAAGCAAACTATATATTGCTATAACATAAGAACTTTGAAAATATTCTCAAAAGTCCCTTCTGAAAAATATAATAGTGCCACACAGAAACAAACAGAAAAAAAAATCAGCAAAATAATTGCAATAGACTGAACACATTAAAATGTGAATCTACATGAAAAGCAAGGTGTGAGCTAGGGTAGCCAGCATCCTGAATGGCCAGCACTGTGTGCTAGCCTCCTTTACTCAATAGGGTGGACTTCTAAATAAGTAAGATACCGTGGGGTGGGAAATGTAATTCAGTGTGTGGAGTGCTGGCCCAGAATGTTCTTGCCACTGAGTGTGACATCGCTTTCCAGAACACACACACACATACACACACACCCCACAGGGCAGGGCAATTGCCCACAGCTCCCATATTAATCCCAAGTATGCACCCTCAACCACCAAGTTTCCATACTAACCCCAACTCTGTCAGCCCAGAACACCACCATATCCTCTTCAGAACTCCACGCTCCGTAGGAAAGCCCTTCACCCCCGAACTCGGTTTCCATGGTCATTCTGATTCCGGTCCTTAAAATGACACTCGCTATACCCCACACATCCTAGACGGTCCAAGAGATTCAGGCCTGAAGCCAATTAGGTTGGAACTCGCGGAAGCAGCTTGTTTACAGTGCACTCTGGGAAATGTAGTCCAACTCTGTATAGTCTATAACAAAAGACTAGATCACAATCATCAATTTACAGGCTCTGGCTTTAAAATCCATTACGTTCATCGGCAGAGACCACCCCTCACACAACGCTAACAACTGTTCACGAGAGTTTCAGGAATTTCAGGTCACATTAAGATGGCCAATGTCCGAGATCTACATACTGCTCTTCCTTGGCTATGCAAACGAAGCCCCTTGCCGTCTTAGGACCTGCAACATCCACGGATGTGATGGTTCCTGGGAAATGTAGTTCTCTGTCTGGGAAGTAGGCGAAACCGGCCTCAGAAAGATGGCCAATAAATGCTGGGGGGCACTGACAGACACAAGGGTTGCTGCTACAAGGTCTTGGAAAACAGCATCGTGCTAGAGGTGAGTTTGAACTGTCTCTACTCCAGCCTTAAACTGGCTGAATCACTACACCTTGTATCACACGAGCACCTGCCTGCTTTAGGCGGAAACAGGAAAAGGGTAAATTTTACTTGGTGCCAGCCCCAGATCCCGGTGTCCTAGCTAAGAATCTGCGAAAATCCTATCTTGAACTCAGGTTTAGTACCTCTTCCATTCTCAAACAGAAATACCTCAGTCCCATCTTCCAGGCAATCTCTTAAAAATTGTTATTTAGTTGGTTATCTATTTATGTGTATGGGTGTTTTGCCTGCATGTATGTCTGTGCCCCTGGAACTGGGGTTACAGGTAATTGAAGGTGGTGGGATTCAAACCCAGCTCCTCTGCAAGAGCAGCAAGTTGCTGAGCCATCTCCCCATCTCCTTCAATTTCCCTTAAAGCGCGTGTTTTAAAGGCCTGATCATGGTTACATTATTATTATCCGGTATATTGACACCATTCTAATTTGCTTAAGTCCTCAAAGAGGAGGAATGGTAACCAAGAGTTCACATTGATTAAAAGAACATGGCTTCTCAGGAAATCTTGAAGGCTTTTCAATGGTTTCAGTCCCTCAGTGACTACGTGTCCTATGTATGAGTCTCATTTGGCTACTTCACTAAAAGCCTCCTCCACTGTTCTAGCCACCCATCAGTCTCTCGTTCAAACTAGATTCCACCCAGTTCAGTGAAGTTATAATCTACCTGAGAGAGAATGACATAAGACCTGGATTTTAATTCAGACACCAGCTGACCAGCAGGCTCCGACTTATCCTGTTGGAGGCCAGCACAAACTACAGTCCATCTCAAACATAAACAAAAGCTACCGCTTGACAACTGAGCATGCTCTTTAATCACGCTACCTTATATACATTTGGTTTATAGATGGTGGCCCGCAACTGTAATCTCAGCACTGGCAGACGGGTCTCTGTGGTCAGCACAGTCTGCATAGCAAGTTCTTGACAGGGCTACAGAGAGGCCATGTCTCAAAAGGAAAGGAGGGAGTGTTACAGCATTGAGTTTTCTAAACACTTCAGAACGACACTTTGCTGTCAAATCTGGATTACACGGACTAATCCACGGACACGCATGGCTGTGCTCCTCCGGTTTTCCGCACTGTGTCTCTCTGCAGCTTACTTTAGTTGCGCCTGATGTTGCTCTCTAAAGCTAATCACATCTCTGGGGAGGACGCGGTGGTTCACACCTGGTATCTCAGTCGTTAAGAGGGAGGGGAACTGTCTCCTGAAGGGTGACCAGGGCTAAATAGCAAGGTCGCCAGTCTGAACAAACTCATCGAAAGAACAGAAACCACCTGAGTACTGGCGGTAGAAGAACCTCGAGTTCAGGTCAACCTTGGCTATTAGGAGGCCAGTCTGAGAAGCTGGCCTGTGCCCCCTCAAGAATTCTCTGAGGAAGAGTACATGTCTGCTTGAAAGATCCTGGGCATGCCTCCGCCCCCAGCACACCTCACGGACAAAACACACTGTGTTTAAGAAGTCATAATGCCTGTGGACTGCCTTCGTGCAATTATCTCAGGGAAAATGAAAATGCTAATTAGTTATTATCAATTGTACCTTTTGCTCCCGTAATGTACAGGAAGAAACACAATTACTAATCGTAATTTGAAAAGAGAATGATTTGGGAGGCGTCAGATTTCTCTACGATCTCAGTCACTCGCGTAGTGATCCACCCAGTCACCAAGACCTACAAGAGCGCGCTCCACGCACAAAGCGGCACAGCTCGACCCCAACTCTCGCTCACGCGCGTTTTTTCTTACCTCGTAGTTTCTCTGCCGTTCAACTCCCCCCGGACCCAGCCGCACACGTCATCTCCCCATGATCTTCCTCACACATACTCAGGGTTGCCATTGCGGACTCTGTCACCTACAGCACGAGGCTAGCTTCCTCTTGGTCAAACAGCCCCACCTGCTTTGGTTTCAGAACCTGGGGTCCCACATTCGCTTTCCCGACCCCAACTTCCAGCAGGAAGCCGAATTCGGAACAGCCTCCCTGGTCAGATTTCCGCCTGGGGATTGGATGACTCAGCCCACGCTAGCCGCGCCCATCCGGTCACTGGCACTGTCTTGGACTACATTTCCCAGAAGACCGCGTGGTCCCGTTCGTCGCCCCTCGAGTGGAGGTCCCCTGGAAATTCACAATGCTGAGAGAGGGCTGGGTCCAAGAAAGACTGAACCATACCAGTTAAACCTGCAAGGACAATTTTCTTTAAGTGGGTAAAGGAGCTTACTGCCAACCAAGACTGATAACCTGAGTTCAATCCCCGGGGACACACGGTGAAAGGCGAGAGTCGACTTCTGCAAGTTGAGCGCTGAACGCCACACGCAAAAAATATTTTTTTTATTTCTTTGTTTATAAAAAGGAGTACTGTAACATGCTCGGCACAGTGGGTCACGTCTTCAATTCCAGCATTCGGGAAGCTGGGGCAGGAGGAGCGCTAGTCTGGGTTGTCTCTAAAAAATAAGTATTGCCAATAGTCAACTGAGGGCTTACAGCCAACCAGCAGGAAAAGGAGTGAAGCACTGGACGAACTTAAGTATCAATAAGGGGGATTCTTACCATGGACTCCAGTAACTTCTAGCTGAAAGCCAGGGAGGACGTCTAATGGAAATGAGGGTTCAGAAGAACCTGATCAAAGTCTGGTCTAGGGAGCCCTTGTCAGGGCTGGGATTTCCTCACGACTCCGATGAACAACCAAACAATTGGTGCCAGCTGGCCAAGCCACAACTTTGAGCCCAGACTTCAGCCCCTAGCAGTTTCCTACACTACATTTCCCAGACTCCCCTCGGCTTTGTACTTCCCTCTCCTGAAAACCTCTTTTGAGGAATGGGCCGCATACTTACGCTAGTTTTGGGGGAGAACTTAATTAGCTTCTTTAGGGATAACGAGGCGCCTTGGTGCCAAGGGTCTGGAAGATCCAGCCTGTGTGGAGTACGGAGGAACGAGCTGGCACAGGGGCATCATGAGGAGTGTAGTTTGTCATCCTGTGTCGGGGTGACAGTGAAGAGACTGTGAAGGCGGCAAGGATTACTTGATTGGTGATTAAGACTACACACACTTCGTGCGAGTGGACTGGTTGTGCTCCTCTGAGTGTGCATTCCCTGGGCTTATGTGTTTGCGAGCATCTGGCAAGCTTTGGGGGAGTATAAGGTGCCTCCACTGAGAGGTATGACATACCCCACAGTGTGCCTTTTCTACTTTGGGTGGGGTGTGTGGGGCAGATTCATGGCTGATAGGGATCTAAACTCACATTCTCCAGCATGCATGAGGACTTTGGATATGGGCCACCCTCCCAGGACTCCACCTTATTTTTTGAAACCATCTTTCCCTGAACCTGGAGCTCACTCATTCAGCAAGGCTGGCTGGAGGCCAGCAGTCCCCTGCCTTTGCCTCCCCAGCACACAGCCCACAGGTGTGTGCCACCTTGCCCAGCTTTTTACATTCGTGCTGGGGTTCCAACCTCAGGTCCTCCTGCTTGTGGCACAAGTACTTCACCAACTGAGCCATCTCCTCCGTGCCAAAAGTCAGTCTCTTTCCCTTATACCAGTAATGATTACAATAGAATGAAGAACAGTACTGCTTTCGGTATCCATCCCTCAAGGTGATGTACTTCGGGGTGAACTGAACAGTGAGCACAGAGGAGCTTCATGTAGGAGACTATAAAGTACTGACGAAAGACACACCATGTCCATGTATTCACATAAAGATTGCTGCGTGTGGATTGGAAATGAATGTTTACGTCTGTTCTTTCTAGCAGACATCGTGGCACCGACCAAGCACCTCAGCATGTCGGTGCCTGAGGCGAGTCGGGGAGGGTTAGAAAGTCGTGGGCTATCTTGGGCCGGTACAGTTAGACTCTCAGAAAGTATTTCCTTTCTAATTTGGTTGCTGAGGGTGGGGCTCAGTGGTAGAGTGCTCACCTATCATGTTCAAGCCTTGTGCTGCCCCTAGCACTGTGGGTAGAGGAGGATCTTGGTTTCCAACTTGGTCTGTAGATGCTGGTCAAGCACAACAGAATAACAGCTATCTTTGTTTAGTAGATATCAAGTTAATCCTAAGATTTCATGGAAAGCCAAAGGGACCAAAACGCTCAATTCAATTCTGAAACGATTCTGGAGAATTTACTTTTTTTCGTTTCAAGAGTTACCACAGTCATCAAGAGCTTGTGGGAGCTCATGGACTCTGGACCGACTGCTAGGGAGCCGGCATGGGACCAACATAGACTCTGCATCTGGGTGACAGTTGTGCAGTTTGGTCTTTTGTGGAGAGAGAGAGAGAGAGAGAGAGAGAGAGAGAGAGAGAGAGAGAGAGAGACAGAGAGAGACAGAGAGAGAGAGACAGAGAGAGAGACAGAGACAGAGAGAGAGACAGAGAGAGAGACAGAGAGAGAGAGACAGAGAGAGACACAGAGAGAGAGACACAGAGAGAGAGAGACAGAGAGAATAAACACACCTGTGCCAAGTTACTGTTACATTTTTCACCAATCAGGATTCAACTGACACAGAATGAACAACCAAATAGATTCATTTGTTCTTTTTGCTGTTAGGTTTTCTTTTAGGAACAGGCATTATCTTTTGAGGATTGTTACTTAGAGAGGAAGTTGGTTAGTTTCTGGAGAATTCCCATAGGAACTCCATGGGAACTTGAACTTTGTTTCATCTTACAGGTAAAATGGTTTGAAGTCAAAATGTTAGTGCTTAGGACAAGGGAGTTTTCGCCTGCTTCCTTCAACACCAGTAATCCCAGCACTCAGGAGGCAGAAGCAGGTGGATCTCTGTGACTTTGAGACCAGCCTGATTGACAGAACAAATTGCAGGCAAGTCAGGGGTACATAGTGAGAACCTGTGCCAATATATAAATAAATTTTAAAAAAAGAAAAAGGAAGGAGAGCCAAAGGAAAAAGAGGGAGAAAGAGCAATGCACACTGTGAGCTGCTGAGCCATCTTTCCTGCCCAAGGGAATGAGCATCTTTGAGGTTTCTAGCTTTCCAGGAGGGGAAGGTGAGCATCTTACAGAACTGACAGAAGAGTTTGGATGAGGCATAGATTGTTACAAAGTTACTCCCAAAACTTAGTTTTAGACTGCAATTTTATTATTTATTATGTATTTGTGTATGCTTATGTACATGTATGAGCAATGTTCAGTGCCTATGGAGACCAGAAGAGGCCACTGGATCCCCTGGAGCTAGAGATAGAGGTGGCTATGGGTGACCCAACATGGGTTCTGAGAACCACGGTTGAGTCTTTTGCAAAAGGGGTGTGTGCTCTTAATAACCACTGAACCACCTCTCTAGCACCCCTCCTTAAATTTTTATTTGGAGGGGTGTTTTCTGAGACAGTGTTTCATCATGTAGCCAAGGCTATCCTGGAACTTGCTATTTAGACCAGGCTGCCCTCAAAATCATAGAGATCTGCCTGCCTTTGCTTCCCAAACACTGTAATTAAAGGTGTGAGCCATCACACCTGCCTATTAATTTGAGATATAGGCTTACACTGTAGCCCAGACTGGACTGGACTTATAGTATTCCTATTTCTGCCTCCCAGGTACCGGGATTACAAGGATGGACCACTAATCTTAGCCTAGTTTCAACTTTAAAACCATGGAAATGTTTCATTTTTTTTTAAAAAAATTGCTAGGCGGTGGTGGTGCATAACTTTAATCCCAGCACTCATGAGGCAGAGGCAGGTGGATCTCGGTGAGTTTGAGGTCAGCCTGGTCTACAGAGGGAGTTCCAGGACAGTCAGAGCTACACAGAGAAACCTTGTCTCCAAAAATAAGGTGAAAAGTGGTGAAGACATCTATCTTCTACATGCATACATGCATGTATGAACATGCACATATACACAAGGATTAAAAATAAATCAGAAACAAAACATCAGTCCTTAAACATAGAAAATAACCAAATAAATCTAATTACAGATCATGATGTTTTAAGACTACAATTTTGGCTACATCTGAACAAACGTGGGAGCACAAATGTGGTCACATGCCCAGGTCAGAGGACAAGATCAAGTGCTGACCTTGCTCTTCTGGGAAACAGCATCTCTCTTGTTTTTCTGCTGCAGGTGCCAAGCTTGTGAGCTTCCAGGAATTCTCTCATGTCTGCCCCTCGTCTCCACTCAGAAACATTGGGATTACTGGTGTGTGTGCTATGGCCCGGCTGTTCCACGGTCCTGGGAATGCCAACAGCACATGTGCAGCAAGTGCTTTGCCACACGGAGCCATCTCTCCAGCCCTTGACTACCACGTTAGTGACTTTTCCCTGCTGTGTTCACAATGCCTGTGTGTAAATGTGGGTGTGTGCACTCCATGACAAAGGTCAGAGGACAATCTTAGGAATCAGGTTTCTCCTTCCACCTCTATGGGGGTTCACGTTGTCAGACGTACTAGGCAGTGCTGCTATCTCATCTCGCTGGCCCTTCAGTGAGTATTTAAGCACAGCGATGCAAAGCAAACTTCGGCTTCATTCCAGACTGTTAATGAAGCTGGCTTTACACTGCAGCACTTCATGTGTCTTCCAGAACAATGACTGTATTGTAAGAGAATCAAAAAAATTGCTATAAAGAAAACAAGAATAAAGTTTAAGATAGAGATATTGAATTTGAAGTATTAATATGAACTCAGTATCATTTCCCAAGTCAAAAATTTTAGTTGTGCGACGTCAGTACAGAGAAGCGCAGGACCTGTGCACAGTGTGAATTCTCACAAGGCGAATACATCTGCCATCAGCACCCAAACCAAGTGACGAGACACTGCTGTCCTCAGAACCCCCTGCTGTTTCTCTCATTACTACTCCTGGGCAGCCCACCCCCCCAACCTCTATCCTGCCTTCTAACTACGTAAAAAAGTATCAACTTTTGTACTTGTTATAGAGGGGATCATAGACTATGGTTGTTTGTTTTTTTATGACAGCGTCTCTAGCCTGGTGGCACACATCTTTAATTCTAGCACTTGGGAAGCAGAGGCAGGCAGATCTCTCTGAGTTTGAGGCCAGCCTGGTTTACAGAGTTCAAGGATAGCCAGGGCTACACAGAGAAACCCTCTCTCAAAAACAAAACAAACAAAACAAAACAAAGAGAGGGTCTCCTGTAGCCCAGGCTGAGCTTGAGCCGCCTCTGTGGCCAAGGCTGACCTTGAACTCCTGATCCTCCGGCCTCTACCTTGCTTACCACTGTGCCACATACGCAGTGCTGGGGGCTCCTGCATGCTGAACGAGCGCTCTACCATCTGAGCTACAGTCCAGCCCAGGAAAGGCGTCTTTTATGTCTGCTTATTTTGCTCAGAATTGTGCTGTGGGGAATGTATTTGTATTGTTGCCCATAGGAACACTTGTATTGTTCCTTAGGGTTAAAACTTCCAACTGCTGCAGAAGAGAATCAGTCCAATGTGCAGACCCTGGAACTGGGTGCCACACCCTGGGAAGGGACTTGTATGTGCATTGGTGGCATAAGATCAAAACTTCCCACTAGCATAGTTTTCTATTTCACGTTAGCAGTATTTACTAATTGCTAATGTCCCACACACCCAGAGGCACTGAGTGACAGTGCACTGGAAATAACTAGGTTATGATGTGGGATTCCCCTCTGTCTGCTGTGAATACCACTGGTTAATAAAGAAACTGCCTTAGGCCTGCATAGAGCAGAATAGCGGTAGGAAAACTAAACTGCATGTTGGGAGAAAGGAGGCGGAGTCAAGGAGAAGAGAAACTTTGCTGGTGGGCCACAACCTTGTGATGATGCACAGATTAATAGAAATGAGTTAAAATAATATGTAAGAGTTAGCCAATAATGGGCTGGAGAGATGGCTCAGTGGTTTAGAGCATTGCCTGCTCTTCCAAAGGTCCTGAGTTCAATTCCCAGCAACCACATGGTGGCTCATAAACACCTGTAATGAGGTCTGGTCTCCTCTTCCGGCCTGCAGGCATACAGGCAGATAGAATATTGTATACATAATAAATAAATAAATAAATAAATAAATACCTGTTTAAGAGTTAGCCAATAAGAAGCTAGAGCTAATGGGCCAAGCAGTGTTTTAAACAATATAGTTTCTGTGTGACTATTTCGGAAGTCTACTATTTCGGGAGTCTGGGCAGCCGGGAATTGAACAAGTGGCCTCCTACAACAAGGTTAAGTAGTCAAATAAGTCTGAATTATTTCACTCTGATGAGATTTTAGTTTCATTTTCTAAAAAAAGTACAAATTCTAATACACAGCACATAATATTCTCACTTAACTACGGTACTCTTTTAAAATGCATCATCCAGTAGCCAAGTGTGGAGGTGCATGCCTGTAATTGCAGCACTAAGGATGCGGAGGCAGACAGTGAATTTGGAGCAGACCAGTGAGACCCTATCTCCAAAACAGAAAGGAAGGAAGGAAGGAATGAAGGAAGGAAGGAAGGAAGGAAGGAAGGAAGGAAGAAGG